TCATTGAAATGTGATGATTACTACTTGAAATATCAAAAGCTGAAAATTAATTAATTATGCAAATTAGGTAATTAATATGTACTCATATTACCTTAAAAACTATCAGGTCTGTGCAGTGTCCTATGACATCTATGTACCAAGTTTCATTGAAATGTGATGATTACTACTTGAGATATCAGTGGAAAAGCCGAAAATTGATTAATCATTATGCAAATTAGGTAATTAATATTGCACAGATTTTACCCAAAACTAATCAAATCTGCGCATTAGTTTGGAGCATCTGTGTGCCAAGTTTCATCAAAATCCAATGAGTGGTTCTTTAGATATCAGTGGAACAGTCATGAAACAGCCAAAAATCAGCTAATTATCATGCAAATTAGGTAATTAATATGCATGGATTTTTACCAAAACCTAATCAAATCTGCGCATTGGCCCAGAGCATCTATGCACCAAGTTTCATCAAAAACTGATGTATGGTTCTTGAGATATCAGTGGAACAGACGGACACACATACACACACACATACACATACACACATACACACATACAGACACACTAACTGCAAAGACTCCCTTTTTGTGCTTCGCACACGGGAGTCAAAAAGTAGGATGTTAAATATTTATGCATATCACCTCATTAATATACAAGTTTGAGGTACATTATTCGCAACTTTTCATTTTCATCCCCATCCATACAGTATATCCAGTGATAGACACCATCGATTACCAAACAAGTTTGAGCACCCTCATCACCGATGTTGAAAATTTTAAGAGCAACTGTAAACTTACCTGGTTCGGCCTTTACCAAGTCTGCTATGTGCAGAACATTCATTCCATCTAAAAATTGGTTTATCTCAGGTATGGATTTATAAACACAGTGATGTGTAGTGAGATTTACAAGAATGGGAGCCTTCATATCCAATGTAATTGTACTCATCGGATCTGTAAATCCTGTGATATTAGCAACACTTTCTTCTCCAATACGCGATACAGCTATTCTGAGTTCCTCATTAGTCTCACTAGACTGGATCTGCATAGGATAAAATACTAGGTTATATAATAAGTCACGAAGGACATTCCCCGAGAATTATCAAATTATCATGACCATTGTAGTTGCACTGCAATTCTCAGACATGCACAAGTGAAGCAAGGCCCTCCCTCCCCCATCATCTATAGTAAAAGACTATTCACACTAACTAGAAGCTCGCTAGTCTCTTAGGGAAAGATACTATTAATTTATATTAGTTTAGTTCCATGCATATATTTCCATTGCGAGATGTACAAATGTATAGAGTACTTGTTGGCATGAAATAGGTCAATACACACAGTGGGTATGAAAAGTGAAAATAGCTAGTTTTGTTTGACACATTTTTAGCATTAAAATGGCTGTCTTACCTCTATCTTGAATTGGATCATGAAAAGTATATACATGCATATGTATCCCAAATGTGGTTCTTTTACAGACTGAGGTGGACTGGAGGACAGACCAACAGACAGGCATACAGGAAGGGTAACTTGCAAAAACTGCACATGTGTGTTTCGCGAATAAGACTAAAAATCTCACCTGTTTGGCTATCAGCTGTATGTCATAATCTGGAATTTCATCAATGGCTATCGGTTGTTCTACACACCCTCTTGCCATATATTGGAATGTTGCTTGGCTCAAACAGTGTAATCCGGGACCACCATGGCAAAGAGATATAGCAACCATCTTTCCTGCAGTGAAATATCTTCTTTCAGCAAGAAAGCGCAAATCATGAGAAAAGCTCAGATTGTTTTCCTTGCCTTCAAGCACGCCACAGGTTTTTACAGAATTTATTAATAAACTACAAAATTCCCTTCTGGGCCCCCCATCATCCACTGCACTTTCTCCAATGAATGACACTTTAATTAATTTGTTTGGGAGGAAATCTGGTCGATTTATGGCTCTAACAGCAGTTTTCCAGAACGTTGACCTTAAAATATTCACACGTTGATAGTTCTGATAATCATAATCATCACCATTGTCTTTATTGTAGTCCATATGTATTCGATCCACCACATGGTGACTTAGTAATGTGACAGCATATTCCAGAGTACATCTATAAGAATATAAACATAACTAAAGATGGATGATGTCAAAGCAATATATAGTGATTCAGTCTGATCTGTTTTTGCTAATTTTGTTTTTAATAAAATGGATCATAAAATGATGTTACCGGTATGATTTGTGAATGAGTAATGAACTTAGAGTTTTGTCATTTTTAGTCATTTGCATATTCTAATAGACACATTGTATGAATCATCGTTGATCAGTATAGTGGTTTTCAAAAATAAGTTGAAAACATCAGTGTTGACTAAATATGACATAAATAATTGCCAAAAATTGAACATACCATCCAAACTGTCTACATACAAAATCTTGAAGCATTCGTGTGAGCACTTTCCACGATAAAGTTGAAAATAACATTTTTGGCCATGAAATAAACAAATCCGACAGTGATTTACACAAGGTATCTACATATCTAGAAATTGGACTACCAGAAAATTTTCGTCAAAAGCCTCAAATTGTTGATGGAAAACAACAGATAATGACTTATATGACTTACACCTGCGCACTGTCATCTTCGATGACAATGGAGCTAATAAACCTCAAAACTATCTGAATTAATATTAGTGGATAAATGGCTCAACCAAATCTCTGCCTACCTTGGGTACAAGGTAGTGTTGTTAGCCACTGTGTTTTCTTCTTCTGTAACATTATCTTCTTGAGATTCAATACACCCTGCACTATCAAATATCTGTGAGTAACTCCTATATATAATAAAATCAAATCTACACTGTACAATATGACAATATTATTATTGTGCTATTAGCAACATTTGCTTGAATAATGAAGTTGGTCTCAGGTCAGAAAATTAATTAACTACTTTAATGAATATAAATAAACTTTGACTCTCCTGGAAACAAGCTATAATTTTTATATCTTTCATAATTGTAATGAAGTCCCAGGAAATAACATTTTCTTTGTTGTTGTTATAGTGATGTGAAAAGTTGATAGGAAGACACAAAGAAAAGGGGCATATAAGTACAGGTACTCACAATAGAGTGTTGGTAATATTAATGGACTGATACTCTATAACAACATTGTTAATTGCACATGACCTTTCCCTTTCTTACTTATGTGAAAAATAAATGGTGCGGCCATGCAATGCTCTATTTTGTACAGGTCCATGTGCAAGTTTTACACAGAGAATTAAATCTAAATGTTCATGTGGCAAGCTGTAACAAAGTCTTGGACAGGATCATAACACAAATCAAACTGAGAATGAGTAGTCTGCCTTTGTACCCAGTTTGAAAAATTATACGCACATATCATCAAAAATAATCATTTCTAACATACTAGTTGTGTTCACATTAGTATGGGCTAATATAGTATATATAGTATAGGCTAGCATCTGTACAACAATCACTAGGGCTAATAGGTGTCATGTAAGATGTATATGAAAGCGCTATACAGGAGTGCAATAACTGTGAGCCGGCCAATTTTGGACTCATAATGTCCAGTAATTAAAAACTTTACCAGTCCACAAGAGAGTAATTTCAATATTTATCTGAAGCAGTCAAAATCAACCTGTTTGAGACAGGCAGATAGGACTAAATATTGACCAATAAAAAATAGATGAACCACCACGTATGTAACCTAATCCAAAAATCCTCGGACTGTGCTCAGAAAAAATTAAGGTACCACCACAACAAATCAGAGAAAGAAATCTGATGATTTAGTTTACAAAAATAGGCCAATGGCCTGTTGCTCAACGGCTATTGTACAAAAGATTAGTGCTGTATATGCCACAACTTTTTGTTTAAATTTGTACTTTTAAATGAAATATCGCCAAACAACCACAAAAAGTTGTCAATGGAATAATAAACACATGTATGCCTAACACCAAAGCATTGGAAATAGTGGTTAGTTGAAATTCCATTTTTAACCAAAAATGACAAAAATATTCGCCAAAATTAGAGAATTAAAGATATGGCCATGGGATGAACAAATCTAGTAGATGTCAACACAAGGTACATACGCGCCAAGTATCAAAGCATTCAGGCTACCGGTTTTGAAGAAGGAGTCGAAAATAGAATTTTTGACCAAAAATGACTATTTTAAAATAGTCTGAACTGAAATCAGGTTGGATCGTAACAGCCGTTTTTTTTTTCATTATTTTCATCTTAAGTTTCTACTTTTCTACTGTCAATGGGTCCCGAAACTATTTCATCAATAATTTTGAAGGCGATGGTCCGAAATTGGTTGATTTCACGACGAAAACCGCGTGAAATGGGAAAACTATGACGCCTCGTGGCGTCACGATGACTTATTCAAGATGGCGGCAAACACAGGGATTTCGCTATAGTTTTCCGCGGTTTTCGTCTTGAAAAGTTATTCCAACACCATACTATAGATGGCGCTCTCACTATAGACCGCCACAGTTGAGTTTTGGGGGGCTAATTTGCATACTTTGTGGCAGATTGACTTCTCATGAACAAATTAATATCTACACTCATCAAGGCATCCACACACCAAAAATCGAGTCAAATGGTTTGGCGGTTTTTGAGAAGAAGTCGTGCACAGACAGACAGATAGACGGAGGACAGAAACTAACAATGTCCATTCCACTGTATATTTGCCCCCCCCCCAAATATTAGCTCAGAAATCTGAAATGACGATAAATGCATTCCAGTGGCCCAATACAGTTTTAATACTGACCTGTTAAAAGCCATTGATAATGAAGTGGAGGAACTAGTGGTAGTGTTGCAATTTCTTGCAGAAATGGTTTGGCTCTGATCATTTGAATGATTACTAGAAGAAGAAAAAAAATTATAAATGAATAGGTACAGAATTATTAAATAAACTTCCAGGGATTTGCAGCTGACTACATTATACAAATGTAATTCAAAAAGTATGTAAAACAAAAAAAGCAGTAAACTAACCATCTGTGTGTATTTGATGTCTGCCTCATTGTAGATGTACTTCTTGCAGGACTCTCAATTACACCCCTGAAATCCAAGTATTTTAATTAATCCAACTATTAATTTTCTATAAACATTCAAGATTTCAAATCCTATCTGTTATTAAACACCACAAGAGGATTACCCCTACCCCATGTGCCAGACTCACCATGGAAGCATAATATACATTGTAAGCAGCAATTCCAGACAGTAGTGAAGACAGCACAGAAACAGAGTACCCAGGCTATTATAATGCACATAAGCTTATTTGGGTCTGAACAAAGTCATTATTTCACAAAGACACTATTTATTTGACACCTCAAGATTTACATGTACACCATCATTTTCATGTACCAAATAAACACCTACCCATCACTTTCCTCATCATCTATATCAAGGCCTTTACATGTTTCGATATGTTCTTTCAGCAGGGAAAACGGAATTTCAACATGGCACTGACCACAGATTTCTTTGGGAGCATTATTTATAGCCTATAAAATATAAGCAATAACATGTACCATTACAAACATATATACTCATATAACTGGTAAAACACATTATCAGGGTTGACGTCAGCCCCACCAACACATAATATATAATGAAATAATTATCAGAGCATGAAAAGAAAATGATAATAAATGATATCAACTCTTTTTTGCTGTACTTATCCTACGTAAATCTTTTTACACGGAGGCAATAAAGTTATTATTATTATTATTATTTTTATTATTGTGAATAAATAAATACGATTAAAAAAGAGCGGTGGTCGTCACTATAAACAATGTATTTTACACGCGTTGTATACGTCACACGGGCGCAAATCGAAGGGACGCGGCGCAACGGCCACCGCTCTTTAAATTACATTCCTGCAAATATTTAGGACAGCACAGAGATGAGAAACGTACAATATACATTTGTGTACTCACTGAAATTGTGCTTGCCATTTCGGATGGAGTGGTAATAGTGATGGCTGGTGTTGTTTCAAGATTATTTTGTAGCGGTCTGATGTACAATTTGGCCTGTCCAGCCTCCGCTTTTAAGAATGGTTGAGAATACCCCTCGGATGGGCAACTTATAGGTACCATTCGTCTGCTTCCGTGAAATGCGCGGCAAATCTCATAACCACCACCTTCACTCAGTTTTGGGAATTCGTCCAGAAGTTGCTCATGCACTTGAGCAGACGTACTGCCAATTGGTATTCGAATTTTGCGTTCTCCGAGACCTATTTTAGACAAGTCGGAACGCTGCTTCGGACTGGGACACCAGTCGTAATCAGTGCTGCCCACACACACAAAGTCATGTGTCCAAGTCGGCGCCGCAGACGTTGAACAGTCACTGACTACCCGTCGATCCTGAGAACCGAATCTCAGGCGGTTTCGTTGTCGTCTTACATGGCGTGAGCCGGCAGATCGTGTAAAAGTTTCTCGAAGTTCATGAGCAATATCATCACTAGCAACGGACGGGGCAAAAGTATCCCTTGATTGTGACAGTCGGCGAGTTACATTCTCTATTACTGTAGCAGCGGCTGTTATAGCATCTCGGCAGGCTTTTACTGCA